GCTCACAAAAAAAAGCCATTTATTTTTCTTTTTGAAAAAAAAAAAAAAAAAATCGTGGGCTGGGTCCGAGGTTTTTCTTCTTTTTTTTTTCTTCTTTTCTTAGAAAACTGGAGAAACAGTGAGAGCTAGAGACACAACTTTGAAATATAACATCTACATGAAGATAAAGGAGAAGAAGAACCGAGTCCAGAAGGCACAGCTCTGCTCAAAGGTTTACATGAAGTTCTCATCGGGGTTCAATTTAAAAGCAAATCTGCTCTGCTCACTTTCAATGATGCAGTTGAACCTTCCTTTTTTTTCCAACTTGGAATGATTATCCAATCTATGTTTGTTAAACGAGGAATGGGTGCAAAAATGTAGATTTCAGACTTTAAGATCCACTAAGATTTGGTTAAATTTCCCTCAGCAAATTCTACCTCAGTCACAGTCAGAAAGCCTCTTGCATAATCTTTGCTGGATATTTGACAGTTCCTCTTAAAAAGTTAATTGAAAAGGTGTGTCCTCCAGCCACATAGTGCCGTTTTACAGCAGAATCAAATGACTCTTTTACCTTCAGTTTTTACAACGTTGTCAGATACGACTTACAAGAAATTTGGCTTCATAATGACGCCTGGAAACTGGGTTGTTGAAAGCAACAACTTAAATGTACAGCTGCTCATGAGGGACACACCAAAGTCTTGAAGTTGCGTGTCGTATCGTCATTCCAGCCCAAAGAGGAAAGGTTCAAACCGAAATCACTAATCATCACGTGAACGCCGATGAAAGTCGAATGTAAACTTCTGAGGCTGCAGCTGACATTCTGCTGAGAGGAAAAAAGGAAGGAAATGGACCAGAAAGTGAACTTTTTTTGTTTCATTTGAGTTCAGAAATTTGAACCATTCCCCCCTTTCTTCGTCAAATTTTGGACTTCCAGAGAATAACAGACACTTCATTTGGCTTGGAGGATTTTCTTTAAGTACTTAAATAAACATTATACATTTAAAAAAAAAAAGGAAACACAAATTATTGGTAGTTGTACAAAAAAAAAGGAGAATTTGAGGTGCTTTTCCCGCCTCTCTCTCTCTGTCTTTTGTTTTTCCAAAATCAATTTTAATACAGTCAAAGTACAATCCAAACTCCTCCGTGGTATTAAAAAAAAAAAAAAAAAGATAGAAAGAAACATCGTCATGTGTGGAACAAAGTCATTTTAGACGAATGCGACACTTAGGTATGAAAGATTATATGATACCGATACAAAAACACGGCTGAGAAATGTGGAAAGGTTTCAGATTTTTAACACTGGCTTCACACAGAAAACATGGCAATAACACTGGAGACTTCGTGTTGTCTGCACAAAGTCGAAAACAAAAAGAAAAAAAAATAGAAAAAGCATAAGCTCTCCGCGGTTTTACACATAAGCCAAAAAACATGTCTGAGCAACACAAAAACAGCTTTATTAGTATGCACAAGGTGAACATAAAGCACCTCCCCACACAGCGACGGGCTGCTGCTCTCTGAGGCTGAGGTGCAGGGCACTGGTGTGTGTTTATGTATGTACTCGTGTGTGTGTGTGTGTGTGTGTGTGAAGGAGGGAGGAAAACACAGCACAATCAATCTTTTTCTTATTTTTTTTTTGTTGTTTTTTTTTTTAAATCCCTTTCCCGTCCGTCAGGTGATTCCCGGGAACACAGATCAGACGAAAGCAACATTTTTTTTTTTTTTTTTATGTTGAGTGTGGGTGAGCGTGTTTGCGGGATGTTGCTCGACAGTCGTTAAAAAACAGTGTGAGATCTGAGAGAGAGAGCGTGTGTGTGTGTGTGTGTGCGTGTGTGCGCGCGTGTTTCAACACAAAATTTTGGCGGGAGAAAGAGAGGAACGCCTCCGAAACGTGCCGGAGTCACAGTGGATGTGTGTGTGGATGTTTTGCGTGCGTGTAGAGTTCAACTCCTCCGAAAATCCGTTTTTTTTTTTATCGGAATTTCTTTTTTTTTTTTTTTTTTGGCTGACGGTCCAGCACCTCAGAGGTTTCTCCTCTTCGCCAGCCACTCTTTCATGTGCTCTCCGTCCGTCCGTCCATCCTTCCATCCTTGCTTCCTTCCACTGGATCCTTCATCTACTATTTCTGCTGCTCCTATTTTTTCCTGTTTGCTTCACAGTCTCGTCTTCCCTCGTCTCCCTCCCGCTCGTTTTTTTTCTTTTCCTTAAAGTTCTGCATTCAAACGCCGCTTTATTCCTCCTCCCGAGACAGCGCTGTTTCTCTCTTCTTTGTTGTTCTTTTTTCATTTCGTCCTCTCTCTTTCTCTCTCTCTCTCTCTTTACCTTTCCCCTTCCCCATCCTCCATCGCCACCCCCCCCCCCCCACCCCTACCCCGGCTTCTTTTACGTCTGCCTTTTAAAATGAAAGAAAAAAAATAACAGGAAAAACTTTCATCGATGGTTCTACCTCAACACTTCCACGAAAATGAGGTCTAGACCTCAAAACTACAGCATAGTACGATGAGCTATAAAAATATACACAGAGTTGACCTCGGGCGGGAGGAGGAGGGAGAGAATGAAAACAGAGAAACAACTTCAAAAAACAAGGGGTTTAGTTAACGTACAGCGTCCTGCAAACGTTTCCATGCCGCTTGAACTTTTTCCACGTTTTGTCACGACACAGCCCCAAACTTCGACACGTTTTATTGGGATTTCACTTGATAGACCAGCACAAAGTACTGTGACTGTGAACCCAGTCGCCTTCGATGTCAAACTGTGCAGTTTTCCTCTTTAACTCGTTTTGGAGAATCGACAAGGACGCGCTCCTCAACATAATACTGATTGATAACATTATCATTTTGACCATAACTTGCCAGTAGTGTAATGCAGTTTATGAGTCATCAATATAACATTTTGCCAATAAAGTTATTACAGCCAAACACGAATAGCTAAAATTTCTGAAACCTCCTTCTGAAGATGCTTATAACTGCCTATTTTAATAGGTTTATGTGTGTGAGCTTCTTTGTGCACCAAATATACCATAATGTGTGAATACTGAACCACAGTCGTCCCCTCTATGCGGTTTATTTACATAGATTTAAGAATTGCAGACTGTAATACATGCTGCTGGTACATGCAGTGATACGTATACAGGTGTGCATTTCTTGTAAATTTTTCGCAGTTTTTTCTTTTCTTTTTTTTTGTGCAGTCATCTGGTTTTGCAGGTTTTGTGCTGCTTGATGGCCAGGAATAGATGTAGGCAATGGCACAGTCATATTTACTGATTGCCTAGATATGCAAATACGATTTAATTAAATCAGTGCTTCTGGTAGATAGATCACATAATGGAAGGTGCTTAAATTTAGAAAGAGAACATTGGTTATGTGACTAACATTAGTGGCAAAAAGTTTATGTTAATGGCTACAAAACTTTACTGCACTATTGATCCTCATTAAATTACTGGTTTCTACGGAGGAGTGAAAACATGAGGCGTCGCATTCGCACGCTGGGATGGGGATGAATGCAGAGCGATACTGGATGAAAATCTGTTTGGGGCTTAAAAAGGGTTGTTCTGCATTTTATGCAATAAGAGTAATTGAGGCTGAATACAGACAAATGCCAGAATCTTCACATCGCTTCATTTTTATTCCTCTTCTCAATAATGCAGCCCTTTGCATTTGTCTATTTTCGTAAAAACCTAAGACAAACATTGAAGTCGGTGGTTGTGACGTGACAAACCGTGAAAACATTTGGGAGGTATGAACACTTTTGCAAGGCACTGTAAAATATAAAGGCAAAAGGGCAGGAAATAAGCAAAAAATAAAAAGCAAATGAAAACATTTAGAAACAGAAGTGTAGTTTAACAGAAGTGGGTAAAAATAATAAACCAATAAAAAACATCTAGAAATTATTTACTGGATATTCATATATATAATCTATAAGTGTTGATAGCCATAAAAAATCTCACTTTTTTGATATTCGCTCACTATTTTGTGTTTTGGTATTTAAGACAAGTCTAAAGAACACACACACTCACGCACGCACGCGCAGAAAAGCACACACACACACACACTCACATGTCTGCAAACTTGCTGAAGCACACTAACTGCACTCTAATGTGGAGCAGCAGCAGCATCGCCATAATTATTACCCAACTGTTTTGCACGCTCGCGCACAGTCACACAAACACACGCTTTATTAAAATATACACGATTCTGAGAGTCACCGATTGGTCAGGCCTCGTCCGGGGATCCGGTGTCGGCTCAGGGTGTGAGTCCGAGGCCGCCCCCCCCAAGCCTGTTTTCTCGATTGAAACAAACACGAACAAACTAGGAGGCTATTGTCGAGTTAGCGGCGAGGGGCTCGTCTCTGATTGGATGATAGAGATCTAAAAGGGGGATGGGGTGGTGGGCAAGGCGGGTGTGGCTCTCTGAGAATCAGAGTTCATTGGTGCCAAGTGGGTCCAGGAGCCTAGTCCTCTTTTCAAAATCCTTTCAGTCTCTTTTTTTTTTCTTTTAAAACATCCCAACACCAGGTTCACACTCTTAAAAAAGAAGTGTGTGGCGCGTTAAAGGGTGGGGGCTCATTTAGCTCTGAGATAACAAGACGAGGGAATTCAGAGCCTCTTGCCCAATCATGAGGGCCTTGTTAGGAAGGGTTATGTGCGGTTACAACATAACCCCTTACTCACACTTAATGGCCCAGTTGTGTGAAGTAGGGTTATGGAAGGAAGGGGGGGGGGGTTATTCAGCTAGAAACACAACAGTGGCCAGGGCAAGTAGGGTGGGAGGGGGTTTCCGAAGGACAATACTGGTACTACTGAGGCGATCCAGTTTGGAGCTATGATGGCAGATTCTGTAGTGGCTTCATTTGGGAGATGTTGGGTGTGATTGGCTGGTCGTGGTTGAAGGAAGGCAGGCGTGTCCAGACGGCTGTCTCATACTTTGTAGTAAATGTTGGCCGGGCTCTGAGGCGGCATCTCCTGGACGATGTAGACGGGGTGCCCGTAGTCCCCGCTCACCTTCTCGTAGTGCGGGCAGTAGGCCGAGTCCGACGTCCGCAGGGGGATGATGATGTCGCTGGGCTCTGAGCCGTTGTTGTTGGAGCTGGTGATGCCGCCGCCGCCGCCGCGCTTGGGGCTGGTGAGGGACGAGAGCGACAGCGGTGGGTGGTGCGTGTCGGAGTGCTTGGCGTGCCTCCGGCGGTAGCACACGACGCAGATCACGGCGGTGACCAGCAGGAGGAAGGCGGAGCCTCCTGCGACGCCAGCGATGAAGGCGATGTTGGTTGACTCGAGGGGTCCGTTTTCACCGTTGCCTCCATCTCCAAAGGGCCCTCGAGGCTGGGTGGCGTTTCCACCTGAAAACAGTAAGACAAGAACATTTCTTTGAGATTTTCAGCCCCCAAACAGAGTTTGGCTGTATGAGAGTACAATAGCAGCAACGCCTCTTTCATCAAGCTGCTCACAACACAGAGAAAAGAGAATATTTCAGAGGCAGATAGGGAATGGATTTATACCACTCATATGCTGTAGAGCTGGTAACTCGAAGACATTTTCAAATGCTCTTTTATGGTTTTCAATCTCGACTAAAACAGATAAACGTGGACACTTCTACTAGACAACTAAAAATCTTTCCTAACCTGGCTAAGGAAAGATTAAATGTAGAATAATTTGTAATTTGTGGCTATTACCGTTCTGTTATTAACCGAGTAAGTGTAACAGTTTAAATTAGCTGGATAGCTAGGCTAACTGCTAAAGCACATGACTTAACAGCAGCAGTTTCTAAACAATGTAATCTTAAAAACAGAGCGATGGGAAGCAGTGCATTCACGGCCTGGTGCATTCAAGGCTAGCATGGAGCGCCGATGATACGTACAACCCAAGAAAACTGCCGATATCAGTAAAAGATCATTTTAATCATGGAGCACTGCTACATCTTTTGGCATTTGAAACCATTCATATTCTATATCTGGTAAGATATGAATAGTAGTGCCTACTATATAGAGAGGGACCCTGGACAGTTTGCCAGTTTGACAAAAGGTAGTTTGTAGGACCACAGGTGAGCTGGTGCCTTTCTCCAGCGGTCACTGGGTAAGAGGCGGGGTACACCCAGAACACTTCTCCAGCCAGACATGGCACAAACAACACACACACACACACACACACACACACACACACACACACACACACACAATGACATCTAAATGTAGTTTTTGAGAGGCCAATTAACCCAACATGTATGTGTTGGGACTGTTGGAGGAAGCCGAAGCACCCAGAGAGGAACCCACACATGCACAGAAGAGGAAATGAAGCCTCCATGCAGAAAGGCCTGCGATTCAAACTCAAGCAATGCAAGCCACATCTCTGAATTCAGGGCATAACTGCATAATTCTTGAATAGAAATGTAAAACTGATGCAGGCAGATCAAAGCTTGACATCAACATTGGCCACAGATCACATACGGATGAATCTCTAGTTGTAGTTTTTGTTGCACCGTCCAAAGACTCTCAGTAAACACTCTTTCTGCCCGGCCCTTTGAAAACTTTCTGAAGGCACCACAGAAACCCAAAGAAGCTTCTCAGTGCTTCTACATTAAACCCAACAAAACAATAACACTGCATGCTTTCACAACTCCTGCTTTCATGATGCTTTGGAGAAAACATGCAGCTCTTTATGGCCCTGCACCACAACACCATGAGTAATGGTGATGGTTTAGCTCAGTAAGCGGAGGCTGCGTCGGCTCCGACCCAGCGGAATGCAGCAAGTATGCAGCAGATCTCACAGAAGCTTATTTGTGGTCTCTTTATTGATGTGATGAAGTGGACAGCAGCGCATATAAAACAGCGAGGAATGTCCGCAGTGAGCGAGAGGCGCTCCGCACAGTCTACGCTTTTGTGGAGAGCCAGGCTCAGCCGCAGTGTATATCAAGGTAAGGAAACGGTATTTCCCTAACCCTAAAGATGGTATTTGCTTAGCATTACAGGCGGCCACATGAAGGACGCCTCCCGGGTCTGCTCCACCACCGGACCACACACTGGCCCGCTCGCCTTTCTTCCTGAACGTCTTTCTCTTTCTCTGTCCTCACTCTGTCTTTATGTTTTGTGAGTCTTCGTTTGACTGAAAGTTGAGATTTTCACAGCCTCCGAGTTGGCGGCTGTCCCCGCAGGAGGTCGGGTCAGAACTCAGCAGGTGAAAGATGTTCTTGGGGTGGGTTTGTGCTGCTTCTCTATCTGTGTGTGTGTGTGTGTGTGTGTGTGTGTGTACAGAGCCAGGGAGCGTGTGAGCAGGAGTTTCAAACTGGTTAAGGCTGAGATAGAGTCGCTTGGATTGGTCCATCATTATTCTTGGCACACATCCCTTTCTGCCTCGCTCCTGCGTCTCCCTCTGTTTCCTCCTCCCTCCCTCCTCGCTCCGTGGTCCTCGCTGTCTTTGGGTTATTGTAGCCGTAATGACCTACCTTGCTCTGAGCTCAGTGCCTGGCAACAAAGACACACTGGTACACTCAGATACTGACACGCACATACACACAGTCATATGTGCGGATACACGCCGGCTCGCCTCACCGGCTCCCCCTCCCCCTCCGCTCTCGGCGCCCCGTCGCGCTGGACCGACCGGGAGCAAAACCCTAATGCCGGACGTCGATTATGCTCCCTACTCCCGCTCTCTTCCTCCCTCCATTAACCCAACATCCCTCACTATCCGTCTCCATTACGGCCGCTGCTTTTCACCAAGTCTCTTTATTATATCCTCTTCTCTTTTACCATTCTTCTCTCCCTTCCCCCCCCCCGTCCATTTTCCAACTCCCCTTCCTGTTTTTATCACCAGAGTTTAGACTCTGAGGCTTTATTCTCCATTTGCTTCCATTAACCATTTTATATCAATAATGAATTCACCTTAGAGACAAACACGCAACAAGCAAGAAATAAAAATAAAAATAAAGCAGCACCACCAGCTGTCCTGTGCTCTTCCACTACACATTTACAACCGCGCCAAATTATTGGGAATGTTTCAAGAGTTTCTGAAGGTTTCCTCGGAACGTTTTCCTTTTAAGACTTTTATTAATTCAACTGAAAACCTAAGCTCGATAAAGTGCCAAGAAGAATAAGCTCCTCTAAGCCTATGTTATGATTTTCAATGCAGAGGAGTTGAAGTACCTTTGGTGCAGGACGGAGACGGATGGATGGGCGGAGGCCTGGTTTTCAGGAATACGGCCGCTGCGGTGGCTCAGAAAGATCTGAGCTATAAAATAAATCTGTTCAACAAGAGCGTCCAACTCCTGTCCTGGAGAGCCGCTGTCCTGCATCCCTTCTCTAACACACCAACATCGAATGATTCCCTCAATACCAGGCCTCTGCGGAGCTGAGAGACATGGACTCATTGGACTCAGATGTGCTGGAGAAAAGAAGTTGTAGGACAGAAGCTCTTCAGAACTTTGACCCTGAGCCATTAGATATGGACCGTGACGGAGCGCGACGCCGGAAACACCTTTGTCGACTCTGAAGTGTTTTTAAAGGTGTTTTCCTCAACTCTGTCATTTCACATAAGAATCTAGACTACTTCACTTCAACGCTTTAAAAACGCATCTCGATGCCACATTTTAGCCAGCTGTTAAAATGACGGGGTATAAGATACCAAGAACGCTTCCATCTGAACTGCTTGAGCCAGTAGATCGCCATGCTTCATGTTTTAGCTGTTTCTATGCTCCAAATTTCCTCCTGAGCATGTCGTTAAACGCTGCAGCTTTGTTAATCGTTTAAGTCTGGTGTCTGGTAGCAGAAACACCTAAAGCCTGCAGAACAGAAGGATCTGAGGACCAGGACAGTGAAGGATTGGTCAAAACGTTCAATTATCTAAAGACGTTTTTTTTCAGATTTGCAGGGATTGCTGATTGAATTCCTTATTGACAAAAATCCTAATTTAGGAAATAACTAATTATAATTTGGGACCTGGGTGTATTTAAGACATCTTAAGAACTAAGATGTCTATGTCATAACAAGCTGAAAGTTTAAAAGTGTCTGTGTTGCAGCATGCAGCTAAACGAATTACAGCTTGGCCTTATTAATGAGTCTCCAGGTCACGTTTTCACTGGCTGCACTGGTGCAACTGCTATAAGAAGGTTTTGCACTTAAACTTTTCTCAGCTATTTCTACTTCCACAAAAGCACATTTTTAAAGGTCACATTTTTATCATTTCCCTGACAGAATGACAGCTACGCGCATTAAATGATCACACACAGACTCTCTAGCAAGTCTGTGCTGGTTATTAATATAAAAAGAATGATAGGAAATGCAGAGAAAAAGCATTGCAGTGCGAGTTGAAGTGATACTCCTTTGTGCTGCACTGCTGGCTTTAATGTGGAACTACACATAAAACCATTTATAGCATGATTTAGTATATTTTATTATTATTTAAAAGCAGAAAAGCAACAACTACAGCTCCTGCTGCTAAAATAATTGAACATGTTGGCCATTAGAGTCACAATAATGTTTAATAACAGTTTTCAAGAGCCTATTGTGTAGATTATTCTACATTTTATCACTGTGCCTTTTATAGAGTAACACCACAAGCACTACAATGTGATATTATTTGGTTAATTAGAAAGGCAATCTGCTCAACAAACAGTTGGCTGCTTAGCAGGCAACTTTGGTTGTAAAACTCCCATAGTTTCCACAGGAAAAGTGTATATTTGGACATAATTTCTCGACAGCCTAATTACTTTTCCTTGTAAAAATGCTAGGTTGTGTCCTTTCTTAGTCAGCTGTCCGGCAGTGCACAGTGATGGGTGGGGAAGGGGTGTTGTGTTACATCACACAAGTAGAAACTCCAGACATTTTTTGTTATAACTCAAAAACCTTGGAATATTTTGACGCTTGAACCCAGGATAGTAGAACACGGACAGAGTGTGGTGACACTATTAAAGAAAATGAATAAATCAATAAATTGCACATGTCTCACTCGATGACATATGAGTTGGGTACCAGCTCCCCGCCAACCCTACAAACACAAGCAGCCATAAACAGATCCCACTATTAAAACCCCAAGCAGAACATGTGAACTCTTGCGGCACACCAAACAGATTTTTAGTTGTGGTTGATTAAATGCTTACACAGACTGAGCCCTGTAGACGGAAAACCTACAACCTCACCTCTACGTATTCAAGTCTGACCGGGGTGAGAAAATCTTCACCAGGGCAGACAGAGTGTCTGCATGGCACAGCATGAGATTGGGTAATATTCTGAGGCAGCATTTAAGTTTAAATTTTGCAGCGTTGGTGCATATGTGTGGGATTTCTGATCAGTTTTTTTTTTTTTTTTTAAATGAGGCAGCCTGGCTTGGTTGTAATCAAAGAGTGTGCACTGCAGCATCAGGTGCACATAAAAGCTTTGTTGGAGGATTATTTAATTAAAGCTGATTGTGACGAAGCTATAACAATAACTAAAAAAAAACAAAAAACAGTTTGCATATTAAATCTAAAAGAGTCCAAAGCTTTGTGGTTAACGTCCATGACTCCATCTGCATAATGAAAGGCGGCGCCTCATACACGAGAGACAACAATCATCAGGAGCGCCTGATTCTCTGATATGAAGCAAACCCACGGATGTTCACTCTCAGTGGACTGTAAAGAGTGGGTTAGTGCTGAGTGAATAATTATCAGCGTGTTCTGATACGGATGAGTGGAGGTTGGTATAAATTAGATGACACAGAAAGTAAATTCCTAAAATAACCCCTCCAACCCCCCCTCTCTGTCTATTTGGATATTGCACTGGGATTCGATGGATGGAAATGATTTTAATCTGACAATCAAAAATGATAAGGAGATAAAAATAATAAAAAAAAAAAGTATGTGTGGTTAAGAGTGAATCAAATCATCCTCATTTAAAAATCCAAAAGGTGTGAGGTCTGCTGTTAAATGTGTGTGATTAAGCCATTCATGCGGGCAGAGATGCGCACTATTGTTGCTTCTTTCACTCGTCACATATAGGGTTTATGCACAAGTGATGTGAGAAAGCGTGAACGCATCAATTTACACGTTCTCCACGGAAAAGAAATTTACAGTCATAAAAAAAAAAAGAAAAAAGGGGAGCGGCGGACGCAGCTGAGTGTGAATCATGTCTTTTCCCCTTCAGTGAATGACTTTGACTTGGAGCGAGAATCTGCTTGTTGCTGCGTTTCACCTCTCCGCTCACTCTGTCCCGTCACTCCCTCCGTGCATCTTCTCCTCTCATCTTTCTGTCTTTTATTTCAATCGTTTACGTCCCCCGACAGAACTACAGAATCCAGGCCACAGTGACTCCTTGCCCTTTTCTTTCTGCCCTCCCCCTATTTTTCTTGTCCTTCTCCCAGGGTAGCTATTAGCCATCCCTCTCTCGCCGGCAGCACTTAGCTAGAAGGAGGAGAGGGATAGAAATATGGAATTAAACAGAGAGATCTGCAGATGTCACCACTGCACATTCTCCATCTGTCGCCTCCCTCCCTTCCTCCCTTCCTCCCTCCCTCTCCCCTCTGTTGCTTTTCTTTATATCTTCGCTCATTCCATCTATCTGTTTTGTGGACGGGTCTGCTGGTGGGATTATCTTCTGCTTACCTGGGATTCTGCTGGTCGTGCGTCCCGCTGGCTGGTCCTTCTTCGGGGGCAGTCCGTACTGGCCTGCATGAAGAAAAATGAAGGGGTGGATAAGAGGTGGAATATTCTTCTAAAAAAGTGGTCATTTTCTTCCCAAAATCCCAAACTTTTCCAATCGGAAATTTCCAAAGTTATAAGTTTGTTCCAAACCATGAATCTTGGCTTATATTTATAAAGTAAACCGTTTATTGATTTCTTCTTTCTGTCTTTTTAGACACATGGTTAGTGGATGGATGGATGGATGGATGGATGGATGGATGGATGGATGGATGGATGGATGGATGGATGGATGGATGGATGGATGGATCAACAGGGAGAGGACAGATGAACTGACGAACAGATGGATGAACATATCAAAGGATGGATGGATGGATGGATAGACGGATGGATGGATCAGCGGATGGATGGATGGACTGATGGAAGTACGGATAGAGAGGTCTACTGATGGATGGATGAATGGACGAACAGATAGACAGATGGATCCGTCCATGGACAGATGGACAGACGGGTCTGGAGACACAAACACTCTTCTGTTTTCCCTTTTTTTCTCCGATCGTTTCCATGCTGCATCCAGACTCTGTTCTCATCTATCAGAACCGACATCGGGCCCCTCCCGGCGTGGAAAACGATCTCTGCAGAGCTTTAATAAACACCTCCCTCCCTTCACCTCCTCTTATAGCCGAGCACATATTGACAGAGCTCCGTGTGTTTGTTCAAACGGGAAACCAGAAAGAGGCCATTGGGTTGTTTCTGGAGCGAGTGATTTTTCACAAGACCATAACGGCTTGTAATCTGTAGTCTCTAAATCAGGCCATCTGTCTAGCAGGCCCTCTGTGATGCTGATGGCATTAAAGAGCATTTACATGTCAAACACACACACAGACACACTCATGTTGCGTTAAGGGCTTCTCATCAAAAAGCTGAATTAGATGGTAAAGAAAATACTCATTTTTGTTCCCTTTCTTAGCCGTTTGGCCAGCAGTAAGCCGGGTGTTACTCTACACTCCTTTCACTTCATGCAGTGTTTTACGTAAACAAGCTGGTTGCAGGTTATTGCAGCAACAAGAGAGGCTGAGATGCTGATAACGATGCAGTACAAAAGCAGAGTGAGTTCATCTGGCATTCAAACTTTCACTGAGTGCTCGTACTCAACAGTTGCCGAGGGTTCCTGAAAGTCTTTCATGGGTTTGAACTGTGAGGCCGCAGACGTGTCCGCTGGCATGGTGATTTATCAGTTCAAATCTGTGATGCTGAGTAATGTGTCAGCAGGTATGAGAGAATAAAACGGACACTTTCAGCAGCTAAACTGCTTTATAATCTATATTTTTTAGATGCATAACAATGTGGCCCCATGCCGGCCGCCTGAAAACTAACTGCCTATTGAAGCCCCCTGAACGTTTCCATTGCCCCTCACCTATTAGTGGTTCAGTATTCACAGATTTTTCTGTGGAACATGACTCCTAATTATTTGTGGGATTTTTTTTTTTTTTTTTTTTTTTTTAGTAGAAAGAATATAAAATACTTTTTAAAAAAATCCAGTTTGGGACACCGTACTGGCTGAAAGCAGCCAATCCACCAGTACTATTAACATTTCTTGGTGCTGATTGGTTAAACCAATGGAGATAAGGAATGGTGTAGATATCTGTGGTAGAGCTTAGACAGTTTCCACTGCTCTTATTAATACATATTAGTGTAAATTTAGTGTTTGAAGTATTAAAATAGGCAGTTGAATGCGTTTTTAGAGGAGCTGTTGTCTCTGATTATTTTCTTTCCCAACCTAACCTTGACAGGTTTACGTCTACAAAATACATTAAAGTTTGTCTTCGTAGCAAAGTGTGAAAAGTTCAAGGGCTCTGCATACTTTTGCAAGAAATGTTGCATTGGATCATAAGATTCCTTGCAAATCCACAAAACGCTCATCTGAAAGAAATAGAAAAAAGTCGCCAAAGTCCAAAGAAGTAAAAAAAAAAAAAAAGACATTATAAAAGCTTTGGGAACGGTTAGCCAAGACTACTTTAAAAGTCTGGCTGCTTGGAGGTAAATTATAAAGAAACAAGGGGTGAGTTAAGGTTTCTGTGTGCGTGTTCTGTGCACAGTGGTGCAAGTATACGTACTGACATTTACAAAAGTGTAGGCCTATTGGCCAGCGGCTCCCTTTTGACAGTAAACCAAGCAGAAGTTGGAGGCGGTGATCAATAGGAACTGCTGTGTGGTCAGCGGGGGCAAGTGGAGGATGTGGGGGGTGGGTGCAGGAGAAAGTGCGTGCATGTATGTGGCAGATCCAGAGAGAGAGAGAGAGAGAGAGAGCGAAAAAAAAAAATGAGAGCAGACAGGTCGATGTATGTGTGTCTGTGTGTGTATTCCGCGCTTCGCATCGGAGATCAGCGCGAGGCGGCATGCGGCTTATTTAGACGACAAACAACACAGACGTGACCTTTCAGCCACATGACAGATAAGATGGAGAGACAGAGGGGGAAAAAAGTGACAACAAAAAAGAGGTGTGAGGAAAGGCGGACGCCATGCGAGGCGAAACGGGGGGATGAAGGGGATCGGGGAGGGAAGAGAGCAACTTGGATGAAGAAGAGAAAGAGAGGATGAAGAAAAAGTGAGAGAAGGTTGCTTTTTCCATTGCCTATGTGAGCCAGGGGAAATAAAGTGTGTGGTATTTCTATTGAGCTGAGCTGACTGTGCTGATGTTACAGGCTGATAGAGCCATAACAGCGCCACTTGGCTCTTTGCTGAAGAGAACCTCCAATACACTGGGTCCGATAACACAGCACAGATCAAAGAAATAGAAATAGGCAGCTTGTATTTGTGTACTGGTGAGTGTGTGTATGGGCGGTCATGTGAAGGACAGGTGCCTATTATGTGCCGGAACGTGCGGGTCAGTGAAAATGCTTAAATTGGCTGTTTGTTTTTTTTCCACCACCCTTACTTTTCCTTTCTTTATGTGCTGCTTTCTTGAGGGATCATTACCCGCGAATATTTTCCAAACAAATTAGAGGTGTGCACTGCCACGAGTCATTAAAAATCACTGACTGCGCGCTTTAACACCAAATGGAATCATTTTGTTATCGCGCTCTCTCGGCGGCGCGGCGAGACGTGTGTGTTCGCTCATTCGGACGCCCGCCCGCCCGCCCGCCCGCCCGGACACCTCTGCGTCCAGAGTGAGTCAGTAGCAGTTAAAAGGCAGAGTGAGGAGGGAGTCAACAGGGCTCATTAGAGCCGACTGATCCTACACTTCTGCGCCGTTCTCGCCACTTAGCGAGGCCTAATATGCTCGGCGAGGGCACGCACGTGGCAACGGGGGGGAAGACGGGTCGGTGACGCCGCAAGATTAGAGGAACGGTTTAAAAAGTAGGAGAGATGAGGAGGTGCACTAATGAACCTCATCTCTGATCTGTGACATTGTGTGCTGATCACGCTGAGCTGTTAAGTGATTTGATTATGTGCAATGGGAAAAAAATAAATAAAAAAATAAATAATGCGTATTCAGCCAGTTCACTGGATGTGAGTCGTGTGAGGAAGACTTACTCTGTCCCACTTTCAGGACCACCTTCATGCCTTTCGTAGCGCACACGCCCCCTCTCATGCTGTCCAGGCCTTGGCGCGTCCCGTCCGACGTGGCTGCAGCGAGAGAAACAGAAAGTTGGACAATTAGAATGGAGGGAAATTTAAAAAAAAAACAAAAAAAAACACAAGCCTGTTTTTCCTTATAAACCTGCACTGTGGGCCCACAGAAGAAGTAAACAACAGATTCCTTCTCATGGAGTCAGCACCGCCGGAGTGACATTTGCACAGGAAGTGATTTAAAACTCCACCAGAAGCTCTGAAAATGCCAAACTACAAGGCAGCGGCACTTTAATAAGTCCTCATTTACCAGGCTGCTGGAATTAATTTGCGCCACACAAACACACACACACACACACACACACACACACACACACACACTGCACTGTATGGACTGTTGCAATCAACTACAGTTGCTGCCTGGGCTGCAGGAATGGCTGGAGCAGGGCTGAGGAGGAGGAGAAGGTTTTTAATCTGGAGAAGCAAAGACCGGCTGATAGAGGGAGATAAAATGGAACCACTAAGACGTAAATCACTGCTTGATTTGAGAGAAAAACCAGACTTGATTTATTCGACTTTAGTCTCTGACGGATGAGTGGAAGCAGCAATAGGTAACACCCCTTTACCGCCACTGCTCATGCTTTAATTATTAAGTGAATTGAAGGCTAATGTTTTAAATTAAAGGTATTGTGGATTCCTAAAAGACTCATTTTGTGTTGAAACCTTTGGAACAGATTAAAGTAAGACTCCCCGTTCTCTTTGGTTGTAGCTCATAAGGAGATGATGCGACAGCCCACAGTATCATCAGCATAAAAACAAAACATCGTGTTTAATACTCCATGAAGAGCAGGCCGAGATCTGGAGGACACCTTTGGGCCTCACGCCTCAAAAAACAACATGACATCCTTGGAAAAATAGCACAAAAAATGTTATTGCACCACTATTTAAATTATATTGAAAAGACAACATAGACATAGAGCTGCAGCTGCAATCAAATTAGCTGGACAAAGATAATCTACGCGGCGGTCATGTTGGAAAACTTTGTTTTCTCTAGGGGCTTTTTGTTGCTTTTCCATTAAGTTTGTAACTTAGTTGGTTAGAAGATGGATGGATGGATGGGATACAAATTATGGGTGGACTTAGAATTTTAACCACATTTAGTGGAAGTATTGTGATAACGATAAAGATGACAATAAAATAAATTTACTTCAGGTGTGTTAGGACACATATAACACAGATAAGGAGCTCATATAAAGCTTGCAGGACACCGGCCCTGGAGGCCTGCAGCTGAAGACCCCTGATTTAGTGTCGCATACGGCGAGTCAGCGGGTCCATAAAAGCTCAGTGGCCTTCCGGAGGGGAAAAGAGGAGACTCGGGATGGGAGGACGGGAGGAAATGCTGCTCTGAAGGACAAGCTTTTGATGACGCAGAGACAGTGAGAGAACGCAAAAAGAGAGAAGAGTGAGAAGTAAGGAGACGAGAGGCACTTATCCCGATAATCACACCTCTTTCGGTCGACGCAGCTCTGCTTGCTTGTGCAGCTGGTTTCAATACTTGAGAAGCATCTCCTCGCTGTGCCCGGTTTTGGTTTCAATCACCAGTCCAAATACCGGGCAGAAACTTCTATAATTGTCTTTAAGGTCTGCGCTGACAGACAGTCTAATGCGAAGCTGCAGCGGCTCATAAACCGTACGGTAATCATAGCCTTTCTCCCTCCAGCGCGGCTGCACACGCCACCCTTGCATCCTTGCTTTCCCTCTTAAATATAAATTAGCCCCTGTGAAGCCGAGGAGAGGGAGAGAGAAATGGCAAATGGGAAACGGCGTTTGGGAGCGAGAGGAATGGAGGTGTGAAAAAGAGGCAGCTTTACTTCTGACACCTTTCTTCTCCATCCTTACAGGAAGCAACGTGTGAAAACGAGCGAAGGAGCGAAGCGGGCCGAGGTCAAAGCAAACACCAGTGTGGCAGAAAAGCCAAAATAAAATAAAATGATAATAAAAAAAAAAGAAACACCGAAAATATATAGAATAATTTGTCTTCAAAAGTTTGTATGTTCTCCAACACTTAGCACTGTTTGTTGAAGAACAAAATCTGTCAAAGACCTGTGAAATATCTCTCTGTACTACAAGGACAGAACTTATTCATTCAAATGAAGTTCAACTGAATAAAAAGAAGCAGAGAATGAAGGTTGTTAATCAGGGCTGCTGCTGAGTATTAGACATTAGCTTAGCTCAGATGTCAGGTTTCCGTAGCAGCAGTAAAATCTAAAGACGATATTATTAAAAATAAATAAATGCTGAAAAACTTCATTGAGAAAAAGATGCAGACTCATTCTGTGGAGGTTTTACTATCTAGTTTTCTGCTACTCCCAACCTTTCCACTGTCTAGTTCATTCGCAAGTTATTTACCAAAAGGATCACTCGTTAATTTTTAGTACCTCTTTATTGATTTCTTTTTTTTTTAATTATTTGTTTTGTGCACAGAGACGCGAGAAGAGAGGCCCTCTGCTTTCACACACAGATTTCTGTGGGGATGTTTATTTCCAAGCTAACCAACTTGTTTGTGCTCCGATAAAATATAATTTATCCATCCCAGCATTTAACAGCCAAGGTGCAGCCAGCAGTCCAGCACAGCGCCAAAAAACAATTCTGCACACTCATGAGTGAGGCCAATTTCATGTCCCTAATTGGCCTGACATCCAATGTTTATGTGTTTTCTCGAGCAGGAGGAAACCCATTCGGCACATTCGGAAATGAAGCGCATCAGGAGAAATAAATCTGAAGAATGAAGTTTGAATGGTTGACCCAAACTGTGCTTCTAATCAGATCCGCCTTGAACCAACAATAAGCTGCCAAACTCGAGGAACGTTCCGTTTATTAGGAGGTGGTTTAGAAAATCAATTTGTGGCGTGAAGAAATTTCAGAAACTATCCGTTTGATTTCGCCTGTTTTCCGAAAAAAAAAAAAAAAAAAACGAGAAAGAGGAAAAATCAGCCTGAAGGTGAGCGAGATGCGGCTCAGGCAAACCAACCAGGTTCAACGGTGCAGATTTGATAAACTCAGCAGCGGGAAATCATAAAAAAAAAAAAGGGTATTTAGTTGTGAGAAGTGAAGTGAGGAAAGGAATTTAAGAAGCTAATTGGTTTGATTTTTTATTATTTTATTTTGGAAAAAAAAAAAAAAAAGCTGCAGCCCAGTTGTGAGTTTTTGTCTGGATGTCTGCAGGGCAAACCGTTAAACTCTGCAACCAGGAGAACATTCAGTTTTTTTAAAGAAGTATTTTTAAAAACTGAAGGCATGTCTGAAACTATTTGTCTGTTCTCACCTCCTCAACCACACAAAAACAAAACACACAAGCAGGCAAAAGGAAAGATAGACGAGTCCTGAACAAATATCAAACGTGTAAATTAACGTAAGCAATTTTACTGTAACCACAAATACTTAAATTGCCAAACACAAAATCCTACAATAGATGCTCACATGCAAGAGAACTTTGTTCTTCAAAAGCCACCAATGCAGAAAAAATAGTCATTCAGGGTCACTAAGCAAGATAAAGTACAAGGCAAAAAAACCAGATTTATTGTTTTGATCTTATTTACTTTTTCAGGTGGTCTGATCTGTGAGGCAGCTAGGAAAAATATATATTAAAAAATAAGGCTGTTTAAAATACAGAAGAAGGTTTTCCAGTCATTCCAGCAGCAGTTCATTTTGTTTCTTTATTTTCTATTCATGAAAGTTTTACTCGGAATGAAATATTTATTTTTCAAAGAAAACAGAAAGCGAAATTTAGGATTCAGATTTTTTTTCTTGAACATTTGAGACGTTTTTTGACATGACAGTTTTTAAGTGAAATGTGAACTAAAACTGGTTTTTGTTTTCCGTAATCGATCCTCATTTTCCGTTGTTTTAAGAGACGCTCGTCTCATTTACTATCAGAAGTAAAGTTGGAAATGACGCTAAATCTAAACCTGCCAGTGGTCGTGAATATCTGTGGGTTTAAATGTAAATTTTAGTGTAAATAATTAAAGACAGATACTTTATTGATGCCTTTTGAAACATCTCAATGCATAAAGAGAGAGTAGAAACTAAAACCATAATTGAGAATTGTAACTGAAATAACTAATTTCAAATATTAAATACTAAAACAAATTACGTTGTAATGGATACCAACAACTTTCTGATATTTGATTACTTCAAAATTTTAGATTTCTATGACTTTATTTAAAAAAGAAAAATGTATACTCTTCCAAATATTTAATGAGAATGTATTTCAAACCATCACTGATTATGTAAACAGTATTTAGATTTACTGATGTTCAAACAATGAGGTAAAAGATATTTATTTAAAAAATTGATTACTAAACATATGAATTTGAAAATAGATATCGATGGTACATAAACAGTATTTGGAAAAATAACTGCATATCATCAGCGTAAAATGTCATTTTTGGAAACAAAGTACATTTTAAACACTTCCCATGTTTTCCCTTTTTTATTTTTTATTTTTCCATTTTCCAATCACCGAACTCAGACTCTGGAAAACAGACCGAATCTGGAAACCTTCAATGAGGAGCCGCCGTGAGAGTGATTACAGGATCTCACCCTCCGGTTTAACCCGAGCCCAGAGGTGCCACCGGGAGAAATAACAGGACTTCAAAAAAAAAGAAGAAGAGGAATAAGCGCGCTGAAGATTTCTGAGAGTAATAACCACTGACACATGAAGGAGGACAACAAGGTGACGAGAGACGAGGGAGGTGTGGGAGACGAGGGAGAAGAAAGGAGGAAGTGGAGGAGGCCGTGCAGCGAAGTGAGGCACAGAGACTGATTGGCTGCGACAAGCTGTTGGTGATATGATGGACACAGGAGACGATGTGGGACCACGGGGGGACGGAGAGCCGGGGGAGGAGGACAGAGGAAAAGTTGGAAAGTTTAAAAACAGAAAGGAAGGAAAGAGTTTAAATGACATGATAGAAAGTAGGAAGGTAAAATACTTTAATGCGTCCATTATGGAAAAGTGGTGTGGTAATGGATACAAAGGAGCGGGACGGACACCAGAGAGGCAAATTGGACCCAAAGAGCCTCGGCAAATTTTGCAAATGTAAGCTATTTTTTGTCTTTCAAACATCCTAATCAGGTTGAAAATATCACAAAGGTCATTTTTTTCTGTTAAAAGGGTGACGCATCATCCTC